CTCATATATTAAATAAGCATAAAATCTTCCCATATAACCAAATAAATGCTCACGGCCGGGGTCAATACAAAGAAATGAACAGTAGGTAAGGCTCTCGGCCAAGGCAACCCACAAGGGAGGCAACTACTAAGGCTCACGGCTAAGGGCAGCAAGGGACAGCTGCTAAGGCCCATGACCAAAGGCAATCCAAGGAACAACAAGTAAGGCTCACGGCTAAGGCAACCAAAAAGGAAAGCCCCCGCCCCCAACACCCACCAAACCACCCCCGCCAGTGGCTGCTATGCTCCCTCGACATACATAAGAGGATAACTAAAATGATTATAATTTTTAGGATGACAAACTTGATTCATCAACAAAATATTAGCTAATTAAGTACAGCAAGAAAGAGCCAAAAGACTCTAAATAACCCACCAACAAGCTCACGGGTAGGACCAAAGGGGGAGACTAACTCAACCACATCACAAACCCACGGCTAGGAACCAAGCAAATATAAAAAACTGCATCCTTATAAACTTCCAAACCAATCCATCAAAACCAGCTGACCATTCTCGAATAAGGACAACACAGTACGCCAAAACAGGCTCTCGGGTAGGAGCTAAAACCAACAAAAATCAAAACCCAAGCCACTTCTCGGGTACGGGCAGGACAAGGCAAAACCGAGCCCCCAGCCAGAGCCAAACCGAGCCACAGCTAAGGTTCAAACCCAGGCCACAACTAAGACTAGATAACATCTCTATGCTCTCAAGGCATCAAAATATAGGACTACCATATGTTTCAAACAAGAATAGCTATGGAACTTCTCCAAATCAAAAATAAATTCCTCCACAATATGTATATTTAAGCCAAAAACACTCAGAAGATGCCAAAATCGAGCCCAGCAGGGGCCAAAGCCAAACCAAATGACCTACCAACAAGCTCACGGGTAGGACTAAGAACAAACCAAATCAAACTCCCAAGCTACCTCTCGGGTAGGAGCTAAGGCAAGCAAACCAAACCCTCAAACAAAGCCAAACCGAACCCTTCAAGGCCCAAAAGCAAAGTTTGAGCAGTTAGGACAAAGCTTCAGCAAAAACCAAAAGCCCATTCTCAACAGAAATTAAAATCTCCAGCCACCTTAAGGTAAAATCGAGCCATCCAAAGCCAAGGTACAACCCGCATGCCTTTGAAACATCAAGATATGGAGTCAATATACATCTTAAATAAGAACAACAGCATAGAGAGCATATTTGGGCCACCAACCTAACTATTCCAAGCATGAAACAGTTTCCAACAGATATTTGAGCAAAAGGATGCCTCACAGGGAGCTAAACTAAGCCTTCAAAACAAGTTACAAGGCTTTCCAAATTAAATAAATTTTCTCATAACATGTATTTCGAGCAAGGAAAAGCCACAGGGAGCCAAAACCGAGCTCTCTACACATGCATTCTTTAAAATTCGAACAGTAAAGTAACAGGAAGTAGAGATATGAGTAAATCTCCCCAAAATTAGGATTTCTTTAACATGCATTTCTAATAGGGGAAGAGAAAGAAAGAAAAAAAAAAACATAATAAAATAAAGAAAAAAGGAAGCCCCCCCCCCCTCCCTTTGAATCTCAACATACCATTTTACACATGATAAAAGCGTGAAGAAGAAGCTAGAACAAATTTAAAAGGTGAAGCATGCCTCCTCATGAACCTACACCCTCAACTAAGTAGCATGAAGAATATAAAACATCCCCGACGAGCATATCAAGATATCAGCAGTTAACAGTAAATTCAGCATGAAAAATGTCTAAATATCCACTAAAATAAAGCCGCTTGCAATATGTATTCCTGGCCGAACAGAAAAAAGAAACAGGGAGCAGCCCTCAGCCGTCAGAACCGAAGAGGAGCAGAGCAAAGGGAAGGGGATACCTGACCCGGCACTTTCTCAAACAGCAAAAGAAAGACAAAAAAAAGCTCAAACAACAACTCCAAGCACTTCCAGAAACTTTTGCAGAGTCTCCCCCTCTCCCAAAATTTTCGGCATTACCCCTAGGGCTACCAAAACTGAGCTCTAATAAAGAAGAAGAAGAATGATTAAGAAGATACGACAGAGGGATCGAGAGAGGCAGAGAATAAGATCCTCGCAGAGGATACGATCCGCGGCAGAGAAGATCGAACTCAGAACGCAGAAGACAGGATACGAGGGATGGACGTCTGCGAGACTTGTCTCGCGTGCGACAGGCGAACACGGGAACGAAACCCCCCCAACGGCACGAAGGAGCTGGTCGGGCGACAGAACGAGCAAACCTAGGGCTGAGGCAGGCCCACTGGTTCGAGAGAATGAGGCGGGGAGGGAGATGGAGTTAGATTTAAGGATTTTAATATAAGTTATTAATTATAATAATAATAATAATAATATATTATTTATTATTATAATTAACACTTAAATAGGTATTTTCACTGAGACGCGCCGTCGCAATGAAACGAACGTTCCCCTTAGGCAAAATCGATGTTCCGGACGCATCGGCACGGTCCGTTTCGTCATCCAGAGTAGTCCGGGCAACCTCGTCGTCGATCGGGTCAAAAGCTAAAAAAAAAGCGTCGCGGTCCGAATCCTACGAAAATTGACTCAAATTCGATTAAACAGGACGACGGAGAGCGCAGCGGCGCCAAATCAACGAGTAAAGTCAATCCTAAGGCTGGCAGTCCTATAGGAATGCTCCCTGAGTTCCTTCAGAGTAGCCTTACCTGCTAAGCAATAGCGGTCAAGACTACCACATAGAACGTCAAGTCGATCGAAGAAAAGTTCAGAATTGCTAACGTGAATGGCTGATTCACTAGTTTTTTAGGAGTAATCAACAGAAAGGTCCTACGGCTAGATCCTAGGCTACTAAGGAGGGGAAAACTACACCTCGACTGAAAGCGAGGTCAACACATGCATCCTGCATTTTTGGTAAGGGATATTTACGCAGTTATCCTGCATCGTCCGTAGTGATTTGGTTGTTTCCTAACTTCTTTTCAATTGAATCCATACACGAAGCCGAGGGAAATTAAGATCCAGAAGGATTTTCTCTGTGTGAAAAGGAAGTTCGTTCTAAAATCTTCAATTTGTATGGCATTGTTCTTTCTGTGCGTTTAGCGTGGCATTGTTTTTTGTCATTTATGTGATTTCTAGGATATTCATTTCCAAGTGGATTCTTACTAGCTCTACTATTTTTTATGTAGCATTGATCTTTGTTGTCTGTGAGAAAACCATTATTTGATCGGATTCCTCATATCTCTTCAACTTTTTCAATGGGCTTGTTCATTGAGGTTTTTGTCTTTGTGTAGAGGACAAGGTTGTGTAGTGGTGCCTTTGCTCTGTTTTTTAGTGAAGCTTTTGGAAGAATTGTATCGAATTCACCCAAGTTAGAGGAAGATGGGAGGAATGGATTGTGTGCCTTACTTGTGCAGCCCACTATTTCTTGGATTCCATGTTTGGTATTTAGCATACCAAAAGATTAATGATATTTGGTATGCCAAAAAATTGTTCTTCGTTTGGTGGATTTCAAATTTCCTATTTAAGGAAATTGTCTTGCTCATTTTCTAATTTTTAGGGGTGGATTTGCTTGCCTAGACAGGGTTATGTGCTTTGATTTACTGTTGAATGTGCTTTGGTTTTTGCGTGAGATCATTTGTGAGCAAAATGGGTTATGTATTTGTTGGTTGGTGTAATCAGCGATGCCTATGGGTGTAATGTTGTTGGTTAGCTTTTGGGTGGCAATACTTGTATTGGTATCTTATGTTTCACTTGCTTGAAGTGGAAAGTAATAGTGGTTAATGCAGTCATATACTACAACTGTTGATTGCAATATTTTGCATTTCACACCACGACAAGAAGTCAATTATGACAGAAAATTTTATAGGTGTCTCATAAATAGATCATCAGATGATTGAGACTTTTTTAGTTGGGTTGATGAATTCTAGGAGTTTAATTTAGACAGTAACCATGAGTGGAGATAAATTTTAGAAAAAAATTTTCCGATAGACTTGACCGTTTGGATATTGAGTAATATATCAATAATATTACTTGTTGATAATACAATTTTATTTTTTGTGTTACACATTTTTAAGTGATGTATAACCTTTTGATATAATATTTTGGACTTTGTGACTTTTCAAGAATCTTTTAAATTAGTTTATGTTGTTATGTATAAGTTATTTATGAAATAGTTAACCTGCACACAACACATATATATAAGGATAACACGGTTTTATTTCAGAAACAGTTGCAGCATAGATGATGTGCAATTGAGCTAACCAAAATATACATAGCTTCACCAACAGCAGCGCCCAGCAATAGCCTCTTGAAATAGTTGCAGCACAGTAATTTCTTTAAACAACTGCAGCTGCCCCAAATAGATATTTTTTGTCCATTAAGTCACCTCTAGCAATTATGTACCTTCCATTTCTATATATTATTATAGTTCTCATTCTTCCTAAGACTGTCTTTTCAAAAAAAAAAATTAATTACATTTATTTCTGCGATAGCTTGAATATAATTATCACTTTGTAAGAATTATGTGATATTATCAGATTTCTTTTCCAACAAAAGAAAGAAATTATAAGCTGCAGACAGCCAACAAACATTATTTGTAATAGCATTCAGGCACTTTTGAAGGATGCCATACATATTCAAATATCGCAAGATTTCCTGAGAAGAAAAATAAATATTGAAAAGGAAGCCTTTTTCTTGCTTTCAAGGATACTCGAATCTATTCAACCCCTGAAGGTCTCGCCGGAAAAGGGATTATATTAGCTTATGCACAATGCATCCGCTACTAAAGTAATGAAATTAAAAACGTACTCGACTGAATTTTAACCTTAACCTTTTACCCAAATTTTCATTGACATTCATACATTCTCCTCTACTCCAAATCACCAGAAAACTAGTGGAGATTGAAAATTGGTGATAATCACGTTATAAATTTAGCAATTTCCCACCATAACACAGATCCCATGACAATTTTGAACATTAAAAAGATAAGCGATACTCACATTATGCTTGAGGAAAACCACAGAATCCTTATCATCACCGGACCTCTTGCAGAGCTTGACAAAACCCTGCTCAATGTACTTGCAGCTCCCGCAGGACGTACGATAGAAATCCACCACCACCAGAGAATTTGTCCCTTTAGCCTTCTCCAGAATCCTCGAGAACTCCTCCTCAGTTTTGAACTCCTTCACGCAATCCACAGGGCATAAACCGTCTTCTTCCTCTACATCATCTCCCAAACTCGATGCCCGTCCTAGGTTTGTGCTGCTGCTCTCAACAGCTCGAAGGAGAAGACGAACACTTCTTGGCTTCAGAATCTTCACCACAGGGAAAAGTGTTTCGTGACAAGGGAACCTCGAAGGCCAGAAGATGGATAACCTTTGCGAACGGAATAGCTCGGGAACCTCCAGGAAATACTGAGGAGGAATCGAGTTGGGAGAACTTCTGCTGAAAATCGAGCTCGTCATGAAGATGGCAAAGGAAGAGTTGGGATTCTACATGATTCTTGGACCTGGATAGGCTTTTCTTGTTCATTCTTTTAATTCGAACTAGAGCACGGATAAGCCATGAGCCAAAGCCTTGGATTGGACTTGTTTTCCATAAGATTTTGGGCCCGCTTCGATCCAGCTACTCACAAGCGGATCAAATTTTAGATTATTAATTACTCATCATAAAATCACAGGGTGGATATGTGATCTGTGAAAGATTTAATTCCAAATATATATAGCTCCTTGTTTGAACTAGCATTAGAAATGAATTGTTGGTGTTGGAGTGAGTGTATTCAAATGAAAGAAGAAAGTTAAAACATAAAGATCGAAGATATTATAACACTTTAATGAAATTTCAGTCTCAAAAAAGAGAAAGATTTTACAAAAGTAGAAATAGAATTATTGTACAAAGACTTTTGTGAAACCAAAAAATTGTTAATAAATCTTAAATTAATAGATAATTTAGGACTAATCACTATAGTGAAAGTAAAGGTAGAGTTAAAAATAAAAACTCTTTGACCCAATGTCTAACAATATTGATGAAGCCTACTCTTTTTCTACTTTGTTTGTTTCATCTGTAGCTGATTATAATAGAAAAAAAAAATATTATAGCTAAGATAATCATTATACCTTGTTATCCCTTCATGATATCCAAGCATGTATATTTTAATATTTTGATGAAATCAATGAATCTATACAATCATAAAATTTTAAAGGCTTAATATCAAATAATAGTGTATGAAAGAGTATGAAATTGAGAAAGATAAACTAAAAAGGCATTTGAAATTCATTGAGAGAGTTTCACTCACTAGTGATTGTTGGACATTAAGCAAATTAGATGGTTATATATGTATTATTGTGCACCATATTAGTTCTGGTGGAAAACTATATTCTAACATATAGTTTAATGGTTTACATCCTCCACTTAGCGAAGGTGTGAGATCTGAAGCAATTTATGAAATTTTGTTACAACTAGAAAGTCTAGGCATCTTCCAAATTTAACTAGAATAAGTTTGATACAGCAAATTCATTGTGTATTTATGTGTCGACACGTTGAAACTTCACATACAAAATGCTTGACTCTGCATTTTATTATAAGAAAGTATTTCCTCAATACGTTCTGTGGGATCTTCATAATGCATGGTTGTCATCCAATGATAATTGGAATAAGTTTGATAAGATCACAAAATTTTTATAATTTTCATCAAATAACTGAAATTTATTAAGGTCAAGGTATCCTACAACTAATAGGCGTCTTCCAAATTTAATACCCATTAAAAAACATTGAGTAGAGCATGCATATCTGATACTCCTTTTCTATGAAATATGACTACATGATGAAGTCAAAACTTGATAAATATTGGATATATTGTTCTATATTATTTTTAATTACTTGCATTTTGGATACTTAAGTAAAAAATGCTTATCATAAACTACTACTCTCAAAGTTATGATGTTGATCTTCTAAAGAAAAAGAAAAATAATATGAAACAGTTGACCTCATTTTTGGTTGAGGTCTAGTTTTTACTCTTCAGTGGCCTAGGGTCTAGCCATAGAACTTTCTTGTTGACTATTCCTAGAGAACTAGAAAGGGAAACCTCACTATAAAAAATTCTAAACTCTTCTTTGCTCAACTTGAGGTTCCACGTGTTGGTCTTAATCTCTAGCACTTAGTAGCTTAGTAGGTGGGGTCAGTATGGATCAGTATGGAAGAGCTCAAGGAGAGTCCCCATAGGATGGTCAAGCCTTAGGGTTAACCCTAGGTGGTCTGATCTTGGCTGGGCTAGCTTTCACACCCTTTCTTACATACCCCTAACCCTAAGACCCCTTTAATTTGGTTTCTTGACTCCTTTTGGAAAGATCATATGGGTGAACCTAAACCCCTAGTTCTTGGCTAAGAGGGTTAGGACCAGCACATTAAACATCCAAAATGAATCCTCATATGACTTCTATTGGTTTGGCATGGCTTCATGGCTTACTTGTCCATTCTATCCTAAAATTACCAAATTACCGAAATACCCATATAACTCTAATTTTTGCCAAAAATCCCAAAGTTACCCAAAATACTCAAATTTGTCCAAGAGTCATTTCAAATCACTTACCACTACCTAAATTGACTAAAATCCACCAAAATCTCCAAATCTTCTAAAATACCCCCAAAATTGTCAAAAATTACAAAAGTGCCCCACATGACCCAAAATTTTAAAAAAATCCAAAAATTCCAAAGTCATCCTGTTAGCATCAATTTAAAAATAAAAGGGGGGGGGGGTAAAAAAACTCGGCTCTTCCCCAAGGGATGCGAAAAATTGCATCCCTCCCGGCGTCCCGCTCATATACAGAATGAAATGACAGAACTCCCACTCTCTCTCTCCATTTTAGCGAATCGCCCATCTCCCTCCTTTTTTTTCACAAAAAGGTCCTCCTCATTCTACTCCTCTGAACCACGACAGGGAAGCTCCGATTCGCGGCTCCCGCTCCTCCCCTCCATTTTCGCGGACAGCTCTCGGCGCCTCCTCCTCCTGCTTCTTCTCTTCTTCCTCCTGCTTCTTCTTCTTCTTCTTCTTCTTCTTCTTCTTCTTCTTCTTCTTCCGATTCTTCTTCTTCTTCTTCTTCTTCTTCTGCTTCTTCTTCTTCCCAGAACTGCCGATCACCACCACTGTCCACTTCCCTTTTCTTTTAGCCGGGCAAGCTCACTGAATTTTCTTCATCCTACCGGATTTTGCCTCGCCGGTGTTGTGTTTTCACCGAAGTAAAATAGTGAAGAGAAAGCTTCAATATTTTTGGGATTTCCCTCTGCATTTTCTTCGCTTTCGGTACTCACCGCCGACAAGTTAACATCTGCTACCTCACCGCCTCGCTTTTCCGGTGACCATACACCTCGCCAGACCACCACGACGTTGTTGGACAACAAGCATCAACATTGTTCGGAAGGATACGAGGGACTTCTACCTTGCGTGCAAGCTCCCGCCAGATTTCTTTAGGCTTCGTGCAAACTACGTGATGGTATAACCCTTCTTCCCCTTCATATTTTACTTCCTAGCCGGCTTTAGGTTGTAGATGTGATAGGTGTGTGGGTTCGATCGCCCACACGGGGTGTGTGCTCCGGCGTAAGCCGACACGGCGACGCGCATATGTGATGGATCAATTGTTTTCCTAGAGGTGACTTATAGGATAGGATCTCCTTGCGCAACTAATTTTCCTACGATAGCTGAGTGAATCCTATTTGACTGTTAGCCTGATCCCGATATTTTTTTTTATATGTAGAATTTAAGAAGTTGACACCACTACTTGAAGATTTTAATCCCCGATAATGACACCGAAAACTTGATCCCAAGCAAAGTAAGATTTCATTTATATTTCTAGGGATTCTACGCAAGTATACGTACCATTATCAAGTAATATAGGGCTTTCTAATTAAGCCCTGAATATCGATCCTATGGAGATCAAGGTTAATCACAGCAGCTTTCAAGAGAAGTTCTAGTCTAGAATAACACGCCCTAGCTTGGAAGGTCGATAAAATTTTGGTTTTGATTTTATCCTACAATTATCACTACAATACTACTACTTCTAAATTAAAATACTTAATGAAAATTAGAAAGTGGGGGTTTTAATATATTAAAAGTACTCCTCCTCATGCAATGAAAGTAGTGACATGTGTAAAAGTAAAACAAGTAGTGAGAGAGCTTGTAAAAAAATAGGAGTAATTATATTCTTTACCCTTACTAGAGATGTCATAAAGAACATTGGTTAATCTAAAGTTTCAATACTTTTGAAGACGGGCTAGGCAGGGAAGATACTAGCTCTCACTCTAGAGTTCTCTCTTATCCCTCCACCTGGAGGCTAACATCTCGCATCAAAACCTAAAATAAGAGACCAAATTAGAGCTTTAGCCTATCACTCTAAAGTCCTCTAATGATACACCCTTTAAAGATTATTTCCCTACTTATTTGAACTTAACTATATGGACTACATTCTCATCCATACAATCTCATGTGATTCTACCACAGTTGATTAAGACAATATCATCCAGGATCTTATATGTTCTCACAACAGATTTTAACATGCAACTTGATCAAGTTTACATGTAAATGAAGAACAAAGTAAAAATCATCACAATTCATTCTCACTCTACACAATTCTATATCCTACACATGCATATACTAATTCATTACAAGAGGGAAGAGTAAAAAAAACTACTCACTACACATGGAGAAACAACAAGAACTTTTCATTGAAAACTCTTTGAAAACATACAAACAAAGTAATACATTCAAATCAAAATACAATAAAAATACTTATCTCTCATAAAAATAAAACTCTCCTTGTATAGCAAAAGCAACCTCTTTACAATCCTCTCTAAGAACAAAGTGTAAAGAAAAAAGAAATCTCTCACTCTCTCTCTCTCTCTTTCTTTCTCACCTTGCCGCCCTTGAGGCTCACACCCAAGCCTTCTTCTTCTTCTCCAAGCCTTAATCTCTTCTTCTAATTAATTCAAGAGTCTAAGAGATATTTTAAAAACATTTTCAAGTCTTTTTTTAAAATTTCCCACGAGATGCTTAAGTGTCTCTTCAAAACTGTCCATATTCATTGAATCTTTCAAATGGTGTCTTAAGTGCCTCTTCAAAACTCCATATAACAGCCCCAAATTCTTCTAAAAATTCCATTTTATCAATTCCAATGAATTCCCCAAGAGATTCAGGAAGCACCGCTTCAAAAATCGTCCAAATCTGACGTATATTCTAGAAGTTATGTTGAAAACTGTCACCAGCGCCTAAGCGCCGATTCTGGGCCGCTTAAGCGCCCGCCCTCTCTATCTGGTGGCGCTGAAGCACCATTTTGGGTGCTTAAGTGCCAGGCACAGGCACTTAAGTGTCCGATTTAGGCGATGTAGGTCCCCATGGCTCCGGTGTGCCCTGATTTGACCCGATTTGCTCCGGTTTGCTCCATTTTGGTCCTTTTTTGTTCCTTTTGCTCAAATCACTTCAAATTCTTCAATTTGATGTACTAGAAAAAAAAACACAAGAAAATATACCTTTAAAGTGCAATATTATTATAAAATAAAGCATAAAAAATAGTACATTTTTAAGCG